CTAGGGTTTTGAGCAGAAACAGTTGTCCGAACAGACGGATGACATCAAGAAACCTGTGAGAAGTTCATCAGTCTTCAGCTGGTTTTGTAATCAAAGAAATCACTGAAGCAAATCAGCTGGTTTGCTATAGCACACCATGTGGTTTTTGTGGTGGTTCTCCTTGGTCTTCTTTCTAAACCTTCTATGAACGACCGGCGGAGATCGAGGACGGGATCTGACAAGTCGACTGCGCTATGTGTCCGGCCCCACCGAGGATTTGGGCATTTGGGAGCATTTTCTGGTTCATCCCCACCAATATCCACCAATTCTTAAAAGATAAGTATTCTTAAGTGCCAATGAGGGTTTGTTTATGATAATGCGGACAATGAGGGTTTGTTGGAATGGAACGGAATACTCCGCTGTCCTGCGGCCCCCTGCCCAGCCTTCTGTCCACGAAACGGGGTTCCGCGGGTGCTCCAGGTTCATTGCGCTGATTGCCAAAAGCCAGCGGAGGCAAAAGAGGAGGACCCAGAATGTTGGCGGTTCCACCCATCCAAAGCTTTTGAAGCCACCGGTTTTAGAGGCATGAAGCTGTTATGGTTGAAAGAAAGACAGGATTAGCACATAATTAGCACCGCGCCACCAAGAATCATTGGCCTGCAACAAACTGGAAAAAGAGTGGCTCAATTTGCTTTGGAGGCTCCAAGAGTGGTACAGGTCCTGTCTTTCTTGGATTCAACCAGCCCGGTCTCCTACGGGCACCGGGTTAGAAACTGCTCAGCTCCACCAGCTGTTCCCAGTCGACTAAAGGGCTCGGCTCCAGGAGCTGGAGCTAACTCCGCCGGAACCAGCTTGGTAGATCGTCTCGAGTGAAGACGCGACAAAAACTTGGGAGAAACTCCTGGAGTTTCTTTAATCTATAAATCTCAAAGGGTGTAGATCGACGTCATCCCATCTACAAAGAGGTGGCGAACAGGCCAACTAAACCAATCAGAACCAATCAGAGCTGTCCACGCGCCAGGATTGGCCTTGTCCCGAAACTTTGCTGGCGACTCCTACCACCCTGTGCGTTGATTGCGCTTCTGTCAACGGCAGGGCTCTACCAGAAGTTTTGTCTCAAGTGCCCCAGCGGAAACCAAGTGCCCTTTGCGGTGAACTCGACACAAAACAAACGGATTGCATTTGCCATGTGTTTAAATGTCAGTTTGGCTGAAGCTGCTGTTGGGGTCTATTCTAATCACCCACACATCGCCAAACATCTAAAGATGTGTTTTGGATTATTTTGGGTGCTATTTGATTTTCCATCGGTGTGGAGTTGTCGGGTGAAGGGATATGGGATGATATGGGTGTGTCGCAAAACAGGGAGACATCCCAATGACCTCAGGAAGAAGGAACATGACAAGACCCATTGGTTGAGGGTCAATATACATCTGATGCTGCTCCACTTGGGGAGGTTCTCCCTGCAAACACGTTTTGGTGCAACCAATGGGTGGTCCGGTGCATTCGACAAATGTTTTGCTTTCAACGAACAAGGGATTGAACCACTGTAGAGGTTGACAGCAGGAAGAACATGTTCCCACCTACCCCAACCAGAAAGCCCCAGAGAGTTTTTATCGAGTTTCCACAACCCAAAAGATGGCTATGGATGACCTAAACAGGTGATCCAGGTGCCAGGTAAACAGTGCTGATTTACCGTTGAATGTTGAATGTGCTGATATTTCCGAGGACGTGAACTTCAGAACGACCAACAGGTCATGAATATGCAAAAAGGTACCCACATAACAGACAACGAATGTTCGCAAGTGCACGCTTGCCAAACACGAAGAGGTCTCTTGGCAAAGGGGATCTATTTCTGGTTTGTTAAATTCTGGATTGTTCAGAAAGAATCCAGGCACGTCGCAACAAGGTGGTGCATCCAAGTGGGAAGGTGAAAAGTGTCAGTGAGGTTCTATTTCAGGATCTTCAAACACCTGCTCATGTGTTTTTTTTCATCTTGAGGCCTAGCAGAAGTGAAGTAGAGCAAGATCAACTCTTGCGTCCCAAAACGGCACCGGGTCTCTTTTTCAACATGCCAACAGCTCTCTCTTTCAGGTGCATCACCAACCAAGTGCTGGGCATCGGCATCTTCGTGGGAACGCTGATCTTGCCCTGTTATTTGACCCTCGTCCATCACGAGAAAACTCACGGGAAACGGCAACTGCATCGCTCCTCGAGGACGGTCCGCACTCGTCGGAGAGAGGGTGAAAGGGGCTTTCCACCAGGACTCCTGCTTTGGACAGGCGACATGGTGGGCCTGTCCCTCACACCGTGCTTTTTTTTGTGTGTTTTGTTCTTTTTGGGGGGGTGGGGGAGTGGGGATATAAGTGTATAGAGATGTGACAGCATGTACTTGATTCGGATCATGGGGAGCATGGGGGTTCTCAAAAAGAATCCACCTTTTGGAAGCGAGTCATCCGTGAACAGATCGAATTGGAGGTTTTGGCTTCTTTCGTGAACGTGGAACAGCGAAAGAACTCTTTGTTTGGACACGCTGCTGTTCGAAGCCTCTTCAATGGTTAGGCCCTAGTAGTGTCTGATCGCTCCGTTCGTAGCGATGCCAGGAGCCCCTAGTAGCGCTCTTGCTCCCAGTAGTAAGGCTTACAGTAAGGCCAGGAACCCCGAACGTAGCTTCTTGTTCCTGGTCAAGAAAACGGAGTGGACATTTAACACAAAACTCAGCGCGGCTTGTCGGGTCCGAAATGGAACTTTTGTCCATACGGCTTTGCCCATGTGGATCGTTCGAAAGATGAACATCTCGTCTTTCAACCTTACACAGTAGTGAGCAAGCTCCAGGTGGTCATGATTTGGGGGTCCCAGTAGTGTCAAACTTCAGTACTAAAGTGAATGCCGAGTTCGCCGAGTTCGCCCAACCAAACTGTCCGGCTATGAGAGGTCCCTATTCACATCGTGAGGATCCGCCAGGGGATCCATGGCCTACATTTAGGTGGTTTCTGGTGGTGAATGCAGGTCATATTTTTGCCACCATGGATCGTTTGAGATGCCAAGTCGACCGGTGTGAAAAACCCTCAGCAAACGGTGGGCTCATGACACGAACCGGCAGCCGAGCCAACTTGATGTTATCATTTGGTGACAGGAGGTTTTTGGGGGTCTGGTCCCACAGAACTAAAACCAGAACTATAGAGATCATGGTTGATTAGAAAGGCGTGTTTCCAACTAGGGCCTAAATACTGGCAACATCGAGATTGAGATTTGCTAAGAGATTTGCCCCTGAAGCAACCAACAACACGCACATTGACAGGAAATCAAGATGGCCACCTTTTTGTTTTGCGATATCGTCATCGTTTGTCCGGAATCTCAAGGATTTGGCGCGCCTCCACCAAGAACACTAGCATGTTTGGCCCCCGCTGCGACACTGGACGCCATGGCCTGCATCCTGGATGATGCTGAGGCAGATGACATGGAGGAAATACACGCATGTAGTAGGGCATGTTGAATGCGCGAAGAAAACTCTATGAAACAACCTTATTGTAGACTGGAACCTGATTGAATTAAGGTTTTTCTGGAGAGCACGTTTTGTTTTGGTGGAAAGCACGCATTTTGTAATGGTTCGAGCATTTTGGAGGCGTGTTCAGGTGAGCAAACGAGAGCAAACGAGAGTTCGTTGAGTAGTATTCGATGGCCTGTTGCACCTTGGCTGCCAGGGTTCTAAGGGTCCAAGAGCGACCCTTCAAACAGGGACCCCAGCCACGGACGGCAGACGAGCAGACTGATCTGGATCGGTCCTTGATCAGTCAGATGTAATACATCAGATTACATGGTCAATGAATGATACCTGAAGATGATTGATCATGAAGATGACACATGATGGGAACATTGTCAGCTTGTGAAAGATAAACTGTTGCCAGTGCATACAGTTTTTGTAGATCGAGATGAGCCATGATGGAGAGATATAACGGGACCAACGAGACAGGCTTGACATGATGTCTCTTTGCAACAGCATGTTTGCTATCTTAAAAACCTCGTTGTCCGTACATGGTCTTGTGATGTCTTGTAGTACCAACGGGTTCGTTCAATAAAGTAGTTGCACACTGGACCACACTCACTACACCCCAACTTGTTGCCGTGATCCAACGCCCTGATGGGCGCGAAAGAAGCGTCCGTCGCCGGACTGCTCCGGCCGACTGATCCGGTTGGAAACAGTGGGAGAAGCACCGGCAGGGTGAAAGAGGCGCAGAGCTGTCGCAGTGGCGCTGTGGAGCGAGATGGAGTGAGAATCCTCCACTTTTTGTGACAGCAACTCAACAGGTGCTTGAGTTATGCCTCCAAAGTCATCTAATTACAGTACTAATAACTACATTTTTGATTGTTCAATTCGCGGAATACAAAACATGAATCTGTCATCCCCTCATTACACAATGAGGGACACAGCTTCTTCGTCAATCAGCAGCGTGATCTAGTGATTGTTTTCTTTGGCATTGTTCTATATAAATTTTGGAATAGGTCGGGTTTTGCCTAGAGTCATGTGATGTCACGTGCATATTGAGGTCCACCACAGCTTTAGTGTGCACTCAACTGTTTTCTTTTTGGCATTTCGGCAAGATGCATGTGATGGATGGTGTTCAAGTATAACTTAATATAATATGTTGGCTTTTTCGATGGGTTTGGAGTCCGAAGGGTCTAGAGCGCCATCCCTTGTGGGTCCAAACACACTGTGTTTGGAGCTCCTGGAAGGGTAAGCAAAAAACAGTATGGTCGTGTTGGTGCGTGTATTTGTAAGATTTTGTAAGCGTAAGACTAGTGTAAGAACATGCTGCTGATGCACATATTATGCACATGTTTGTATTATATGTTTATGTTTGTTATGATAGTTGGTGCAGTCAGGGATTTGGTGTTCTATTTCGACTGATGAGTCCTACATGCACCCCAAAGAACTTGGTGTTCTGGGTGATAGGAGGAACCGTATATATTTTTAGCTGGTCATATCTGGGGCAGGATCAGACCCATATCTCTAGCTGGCCCAGGCCGGATGCTGGTGGAGATGCTAATGCACGCCAGGCAGCGAACATATCGTCCACGAACTTCCTCCATTTTCGTCAGATTGGTAGATTGACCTTGTGGGTTTTGTTGATGCACCAGAGCTTGCAAAGTTTTGTTATTTTGTTTTTTTTCCGCGGGGGTGGGATTGTCAATGGCTTCCCATCATACACGGGTACGTGATTCGCATTTATTCGCTCCTTCCCATTCTCTTGCTCCTTGGTTTTAGCACAGCCAGAAATTGCTTGAAGAAGGGTGACGTTGACATGGCCATGGAACACGTCCCGAGCTTCCTGGTGAGTTTCGATTCGGACCCACCATCCACCACCGAATGGGTGCTTCGGCTGTTGACCTTTCCCTTCGTTTTCGTTGCAGGTTCCTGGTGTCCGAGAATGACCCAGGCCAACACACCGTGCTGGACACCGCGGGTTAGCTAGCGGACCGGCTGGGGTGCGTTGGAACACTGGCGCACGCCGTGCCATTCCGTCGGCGCCTGGACATCAATCGTCTCCAAGGAAGCGCTTCTCAAAAAGTATGTGGATCCTTAATATTTTGGGGATCAAGCAGAAGGCTTTGCAGATGTTGTTGTATGTTGTTTTTTTCAGGCACCATTCACAAATCCAATAGAATCCCAAAGTGAATGTTCTTCCCTCCCATCGTGTTCATGGCCTCCCATCCATGTGTGCTTCCTCCGTTTGCACCGAGCCTCCAGAGTCGGCGCGATGAGGACGAGACGAGGGGTGTTTGACGCCGTTCGCGGTTCGGCCAACCAACACTGCTGAGAGTCTTCTCATATGATAATTAGTCATGTCATATCTCATGCGTTCCTGATTTGACCCGGTCATGGCAAAACTGGGGATTCATTAAGCAGGTCGTGGCTCAACCAGTAGCAGGAGTAGCAGAGTCATCCACAAGTTATATTGTAAACATATACCAGGACCTTCAAAGTGACCTTTTGAGATCCCAGCTTGAGGTCACTTAGTCCATAAAGAGGCCACTTACAGACTCCAAAGAGGTCACTTTGAAGGTCCTGGTATATACTGTATAAAACATCTCTGTGCGATGTTCGGGGCATGCTCCTGGAGCCCGAGCCCTTTGGAGACCATCCTGCAAGGGGTCAACTGGACGAAGAGCAGGTACCGTATCCATCTACCGGTGCAGTACAGTGATTCACATCAGTTTTCTACAGAGGGTCCAAACATTGTTAAGGTCTATAGGGTTTGCGTCCTTGGATTGTAAGGAGGGAGCATGTTTGGCTTTTGCCACCGAAACACCTTGCAGCAGTTTTTGTATTTTTGGTGGAGTGAAGCTTTTCTTTCTCACGGTTGATCAGGCTCTTAGAAGGAACAATACTTGCGTTGAAGAGACCAGGGCATTCGACTCAGACCAGGGCACTTGAATGTTAAATGAAACCAACACAGCCCGTGATACATGTTCAGTGATCCCTGAATCCAGGAAAAGAAACACATCCTCAGACAGTCAATTGGAGGTGGCTCAAAAGGTAAGACACACTAAATACTCGCTGGTTGAACAGATCAATGTCTTGATGGTCGTGTTGTACTACTTCTCAGTCACAGTCACTTCCCTGCCCGCTACACTTAACCCTGGCCAGGCTGGAATGGCCCCCGGTGACGTGATGCACGTCTCACCTGCGGGTGCGAAAAGGACTTCTGTGCGGTCGACCTGTGGGGTCAAATCGTCTCATTGGACGGGCCATCTCCCAAATCCGCCATCGCAATTGATCAATACAAGGAAATCCTATCTCAAAGTGAGCAATGATGCTTTGTCTTTCTTTCCCAGCCGTGCCTTGATTTTTTCCCCTTATCAAGTCATGCAGCTTGGAGAGCGCCTTAGTTTTGGCTTTGGGGGCAGAGTCAGACAATTAACTCATATTAAATCGAGGACTGAACGATGGTGCTCAGTAAAGTACTGTACAGTAAATGTTCTCAATGTGTTATGGTGGTGATGGTGCTCTATACTATCAATAAAGACATATTTCCAGAGTTTCTTCAAAAAACAGTCCCTTCTTGATCCCGAATGGGAGCCTTGGCACATCCCAGGTCCCAGCCGGACGACTTGTGGTGAGTTCTTCTACAAAGGAACAGGAACGCACCAAGCACCAAGAGCTCTATGATTTGCACAGGTCTCAAATCGAACGCAGCATTGCTACGGGAGGCGCCTCGGGGAGCTTGACCAGCGAGCAGCTGCAACCCTTCGTCGAGGCGCGAGGCCGCAGGATGGCCACGTCCACCGAGTGTTTCGCGGTTTGTAGAGGTGCCATGCGGGGGGCCTTGTGGGTTTAGTCTGAATTTCAATAGATTGGAACATCATGCATGAAGATATTGGACACGTTTATGTAAACCATCAATTCACAACTGCCACCGTGCCTGGCGAAACTCTCGCGCACGATATCATCTCAGCAAGTAGGATCAAGTGGGGTAGGTGTTTGTTTACACGGGAGTGATTTCGTGGTAGCCAAGCTACCTGATGGTTTTATGCAAAACTCCTCGCACCTCTCACTTTGCCTCGCCAAGGCAGGTAGCTCCGTTGGGGTTTGGTCCCGACTCAACCACAAGCAGCTTGGAGACCCAGCGCTTGGGGTGCAAGACCCTGCGGGTCAAAAACTGTCTGAGCCGGAGAACTTGATGTTGATGCGAAGCCTTTCGGCCGATATAGACACTGATCACCGATATAGACACTGACATGATGAATTTGAAAGATTCCGGTTTCTTCGACATTTGGGATCTTGGATTTCCCGGTTCGATATCAGACGTGGAACCCCCCAAAGACTAATCTTGGGGTTTGAGCAGCTGGGGTGACCAGAATCCTTTGGTTGAACATGTTCGAAGATGTTGCTTGTACTGTCGAGCCCTCCGCAAGATCGTTGTAGTGGGCCTTGTCACTCAGGCTGTTTCATGTAACCTTAGACTTTGTTACGCACCCTGATATTTACAGCAAAGGCATGAAGAAATGGTGATCAACATGCTCTTCTGAGATATAGAGGAGGTTCAGTAATCCATGACGCCCAGCACCCGGTTGCAATTCTTGCAGATTGGCGTTCTTATTGGGAGTTGGCATCTGTACTATTTTGCAATCAATTTTACAAGTTATCCAAGTTCGTTGCCAGAAGCTGATTAGCGCATGTGGACATGACAAGGGACTGATCTAGCCAGAGTATCCGATATGACCTGTACATCCGGTACCAAGATTGCTCCAGCGCTGAACAACGGTGGTGCAATCCCTTTCCATGGGAGAATCATGCGATTGCAATATCCAAAAGGCACCACTGTTGCCTCTCACAATGAGGTTGTGAGCACCTGTGGCACTGTTGGGTTCCAGTTGTTCCAGCTACATCAAGAGAAGATGGCTCAAGGGCACCAACTACCTCTCAGGATGCAGTCAGAGCGTGTAGACTGGGCTGTTTGATATAGACTGCTTGGATTCTTGACGTGTGAATTTCCGCTGCAGGCCTACAGCTGTCCGTCGGGCCGCTGTGCGCCGCCTTGTCGGGCCGCTACATGCTGCGGTTGTATCGGTTGTAACATCCTTCAAACATCCTTCCAACATATGTCCAGAAGAGGCATAATAGAACCACTAAGAAAAGGCCAGTACAGGAAAGTTATATTACTGTACAATTCAAGAATGGTCCAAAACAATAAAAGCGTGACTGCGTGACATAATTCTTTCATCTAAACAAGAGGACACTGGTTTCGGAAGCTGGTTCTGTAAGTAAAGGGACCTAGCGATCCGACGGAGAGTGTGCAGAGAGCACCAGCAGAGACCCAAAGAGACCTTCTCAGGTTCGGTACGACTGGACCCTCCAGGCCTACATAAACAGTCTTCAATCACCTTCTCAAAAGGTATTTTATGTCAATCCATGGGTCTAGTTATGGGGTTCCGTGTTCTCGTACAATATTGTTGGATCACTGTCGTTGCTAGACTCTACTAGATGGACCATACTGATCATGCAGTGGAAAACAGGAAAGAAAGAATAATACAGTAGTTATAGTGGTCCCAAAATAGATAGAAACGGTTTCCAACACATATTTAGTGGGGATTTGCTTTTATGATCCTTTATATCTATTTGGGGGTCCATTGTTCCCTGTGATACCGATACCGTTGGTATCCCGGATGATGCAGGATTTTCTCTCCGGCTGCGTGGGGGAGCGTGGTGTCCGGGACCAGGATGGACGTGGTGTTGAGTGTTGAGTCGTTGAGTCTTTTCCAGGCAATGCGTGCACTTTTCAGGATACCAATCAACGCTAGATATTGCAATGAGCTACTGTTTCTGGAGCAATGAGCCATCAACCTGTTGGGATTGCAGGGCTAGCAGATGAACTGCAGGCAGTACTTACCCTTTGTGGAATGAAGATATCAGGAGTACTAACCAGTCAGCTTGATGGCTACAAGTTGATATGATGTTCTACAAAAAACGCACTGGTCCGCCGATGGTTTCTTCAGTTTGCGAGGGTTCACAAATCTTAAGAATAGACCCACTTGCTGGATCAGTTAGTGTTGCATATATTATTTAGTTATTGGTCGATTCCGAGTGTTTTCTTTGATGTTGTTTGTGCTGAAGGGAATGGGTGAGCAACTTCTAGCAGCATGCTTTGTAGCCTATTTTTGGTCAACAGAGTCAACAGACGTCCCAAAACAAACAGAAACAATACCAACACATCTTCCAGAATAATCTTGACTCGCCTCAAGACTTTTGCCGATTTCTTCGAGGAACAGATTTGGCCAGAAACCCTGAATGGCATGCCCCAACTCATCTCTCCTTCCCAATCCCTAGTCACAGGTGCATCGCTACTAGAAACAAGGGCATTACTATGCATTACGACTAGTAGCTATAGCAAGAAGCTAGTAGTATATAGCTAGTTGCTACTAGTAGTAATGCCCTTGTCAATTGTTACTAGTAACAAGAAGCTATCAGGTACACTGCCTGGTGCGGATTCTCCGATGCGAAGCGGAGATGGGGTACGCCCGATGCGAGCGGGCGTGGTCCGGGCGTGGTCCGAACGAGTGTGCAGGTGTGCAGCCGTGGAGTGGGTGATGTGCTTCCAAGAAGTCAGTGATTGATTGCTTGAATGGTTAAAGAGAAGAGCTGGAACGGTTTAAACAGGTCAAGCCAGGGTCCCAAGAAATCCTCCTCGAGTCTAAAGCAAGCAAGGAGGACAAACACCCATCAACGCTCCAGATGAAGCATATGTTCTTTTTTTTAGAACTCATCAACCCTGACTGAAAACAGGATTGTTTAACGTTGGGAATCGGGAATGATTTCACCACCGAAAGGAGACCCAGGTATCCCACAGTCTCTATTTTCCGGACGCCACGAACGGGGCTCCTGGCAAAGGGCATCGCTACTAGTAGCAAAGGGCATCGCTACGAATGGAGCAAGGAGCAAAGGGCAAGTTGTCCTTTCGGCCCACCAAGGTGAATCAACCGTTTTTCACCTGGGGTCGTCCGGATTGGGGGCGAGGCAAAACGAGCACAACTTCTGGTCGTCCACAGTCACCCAAATGGCCCAAATCTGATGAACATCATCATGAATCAATACTGAACCCATAGGGTCCAAGTACCTCCTGAGGACTGGGGACCAAAGGACATCCTCAGGATGGTCCTGGACCCTTCGGATGAATGTGTTGCTGACCACGGCAAAGCTTGCGTTCGACATCGATCTGAATAGCACCCCTTTTGGTGTTCGTCGTTCTTTTTCTTCGGCTGCGAACGAAGCATGAAATGGCCTAGTGTCGATTGCATTCCACCTCGTGAGGTTTCTCGCGTGCTTCGGCAGCCATATTTTCCAAGCACGTTTAGCCACCTTTTGTCGAGTCCTCTACCCAGCCACTTGGCTTCGCTCGTGGAGTTCCAGGTGTTTGTTCAGGTCAATGACGCGAGATGGAGCGAGGAGGTCTCGCATCCAGTCGGTGGACCGCATTCAGAGTCAGAGGGATGAGTTGCTGCCACTCATCCCACAAAAACATTGTTTGAGTATCCACCTTGCAGCCATTGAGCTGAATTTTTATGCGTACTACGTCAGGGTAAGTAGCATAATGCAAACGGATGAATCAACCTCCCCTAAGGACTTAGTCTATAGGTCTACTCCACCCGTCCGAGCCCAAGCAGCCCCGAGTCCAAGCATTGTTGGTGACTACTCCTCGTTGTACGACGACGACGGACGGCGACGACGATGACTGCATATTACTACTACTCCATACTATTCCTACTCTCCTACTCATACTCCCTTCTTAGCTTATTCAGTTGGAGTGGACCTCATGAATGGTATTTGAGACCTTCTTGACGTTGTTGATCTTTGCACTGCTTATTTTGCGGCGGCTAAGTTTACTGGAGGAGTTCGAGATGATTGCATTCTGTCGTTACTGGTTTTGAATATATCGTTGTCAAATCCTAGAGTAAACTGCGTATCTTCTCAGATCCCAGGGTTACCAACGTAGCTGGAAGCTCTGGGTAATTATGCCATGGCTTTGTCCTGTTCAGCTTTGCCGCAGCGCCCCCCAAAAAGAATAAATGTGTGGGACCCAAAGAATGCAACCCAGCACCCAGGCTCTTCACAACGGTCCAAACGACATCACCACGTGAGTGCGTCAGCATACCTACGTCCTACGTTCAACAGGTGAACTAAGTGGCTGAACTAAAGAGATCCCCTCCAAAACGTTTACAGACTGACACCCTATGGATCCACAGGGCTCTGCAGAACTGAGCAGGTGAGAGGTAAACCTTTTTATTTAGGCGTGAGGGTGGGGCCCAGTCGTACCCTCACCTGAGGTTTGGTGGCAGTGGATTCCTATAGGGACATATGGTTGTCGATCTAAAGGTCCTAGACAGCATTGTGTATGACGATGACCCGGAACATATCAAAATCTCATTTGGCGAAAGTTTTCCTCAAGTTGACGAAAGTATTTTTTTTGCGAAAGATCTGGCGAAAGATTAAATATGTACTTTTGTATGAATGTTCATTTGCTTCCTGAACAGCTGGTGGCAGTGACTCAGAAGTTGGATGAGCTGTGGAAGTTAGATAACCTGCTGCTGCTGCGGCTACTACTACTACTACTACTACTACTACTACTACTACTACTACTACT